CAATGGTTGAGCGCCAACTTGTGAACATGGAGGTCATGATTCAATTCCCGATTAGGACACATGCCCAGGTTTCGGGCTCAATCCCCAGTGTGGGGTGTGCAGGAGGCAGTCGATCAAATTCTCTCACATTATTGATGTTTCTCTCTTTCTCTTTCCCTCTTCCTCTCTGAAATCATTAAAAATAGATATATTTTTAAAAATATGTTTTATTGATTTTTTTTTTTTTTTTTTTTACAGAGAGGAAGGGAGAGGGATAGAGAGTTAGAAACATCAATGAGAGAGAAACATTGATCAGCTGCCTCCTGCACAACCCCTACTAGGAATTGATCCTGCAACCAAAATACATGCCCTTGACAGGAATCAAACCCAGGACCCTTCCATCTACAAGCAGATGCTCTATCCATCGGGCCAAACCAGTGAGGGCAATAAAATATATATATATATTAAAAAAAAAAAAAAAGAAGAAGAAGAAAAGTATTAGTCAGTTCCTACAAGAGTACTTGATTCATTCACTACTTGTTCATTCATTCATTCAATGGCCATGGAAGCCCTTCCATGTGGTAGGTACCAGATGCCAATGCAAAACAAGTCACAGTCCCAGCCAGGGAGGGCAGGTGGGGAAGCTGGTGAGTAAATAAGAAGTCACAATGCTGCCTGACTGGAATGGCTTAGCAGTTGAGCATTGACCTATGAACCAGGAGGTCACAGTTCAACCCCTGGTCAGGGCACATGCCCGGGTTGTGGGCTCGATCCCGTGTGGGGTATGCAGAAGGCAGCTGATCAATGATTCTCTCTCATCATTGATGTTTCTATCTCTCTCTCCCTCTTCCTCACTGAAATCAATTTAAAAATATTTTATTTGAAGTTATAAGTCATATAACTAAAAGGGGGAAGTGTGGGCAAAATAAAGGCTACATACTAAACCTTACAAACTCAGGAGAAGCCTGCATGGCAGGCCTTACAGACTCAAAGACCAAAAGTAACCGTATAGGATGGTGTGAAGTTAAACTTTCTTTTTTTTTTTTTTAAATATATTTTATTGATTTTGTAGAGAGGAAGGGAGAGAGATAGAGAGTTGGAAACATCGATGAGAGAGAGTCATCGATCAGCTGCCTCTTGCACACCCCCTACTGGGGATATGCCCGCAACCCAGGTACATGCCCTTGACCGGAATCGAACCCGGGACCTTTCAGTCCCCAAGCCGACGCTCTATCCATTGAGCCAAACCGGTTTCAGCTGAAATTAAACTTTCTAAAGGAAAGTTAGAGTGGGCAGTTCTGTCCTAGGCCTGTATCTTCTCTGACAAAGGTCAATCTTTACCTTAATGGAGCCTGTCCACTGTCCTTTTGCATCTATGATAACATACGAAATGTCATCATAACTTCCTTTTTCCAGATCCCACAGGACATAATCACTGCCCCAGAGCACAGACCACAAAACCCCTCATTGTTACTGTTATTGTGTTGTTTACTGCTAACTATCTGATAGCCACCAATATAAATGAAGTACATATCTATCCGGTTTAATTTTTATCCAGTTTCAGAGAACCTCAGATTCACACACACTTTACTTTCTCTTGCTTTGCTTTCTCCTGCCTCCCTAATCTAGCACCAGTGAATTCTATGTAAGCTCCTGTGGCCTCCCCTCTGATTCTGGAACATAAAATAAGTGGTTCCCTCACCGGTGTGGCTCAGCTGGTTGGGCCCTACTCTTCAGGTTGCTGGTTCGATTCTGGCAGCCATCAATTTTGGCGCTCACATCAATATTTCTCTCTCCCTTTTCCTTCCACATTCTCTAAAAATCAATAAAAAGCTCTGGCAGGATGTGTGGGAAGCAGCCAATTAATGTTTCTCTCTTTCTCTCTCTCTCTTACACACACACACACACACACACACACACAATAAAAGCACTAAAATTCAATTTTAAAATATATTTTTTAAAAATAGTAAAACTGCCATTTCCTGAAGCATTTTCTCAATCCACTGAGATTTCCCCTCTCAACAATTATCATCAGTTTGGCTCAAATGAACCAGGAGGTCATGGCTTGATTGCCAGTCAGAACACATGCCTGGTTACAGGTTTAATCCCTAGTTCGGGGCATGCAGAAGGCAGACGATCAATGAATATCTGTCATCATTGATGTTTCTGTCTCTCTCTCTCCCTCTCCCTTTCTCTCTGAAATCAATAAAAATATAGAAGAAAAATAGAAATTAGATATCAGAAGTAATAAGCACAGGGGCCTATGGGAGTTGAGAGGAAGGGCACTGAACCAAACTGGGGGGTAGAGTGGCAATCAGGAAGCCTTCCTGGAGGAAGGGAAATTCTGAGAGGTGAGAAGTACTCAGCCAGGCAAATGAATGAGGACAGAATGGGTGTTTTCCCCTGAAGAAGAGAAATTGCATGCAAAGGCCCAGCAGGAGCATGGGAAATGCCGCCACTGAAATCTGTGTGTCTGGAGTGGGGGAGGAACATGGGCATGACAGAGAGGGCAGCCTGGGACAGATCATGATCTGTCTTGCACTTGTTCCTCAGAGGGATGGGAGTCATTGAAGGGCTGTAAAGAGAGGAGTGGCAGGGCGGCTCAGTGTGCTAGAAAGCTCAGTGCGGTTGTAGCTCAGAAAGTGAATTTGTGATGGGAGGAGCAAGAGTGGAGCAGAGAATCTGGTCAGGAGGCAGCTGCCGTGATGAAGGCAGGAGATGGTGGTGGCTGGGACCGAGGAAGTGGCATTGGGGACGGACAGGGGGGCCAGCCTGGAGCGGAGTACTGAGAAATGATGACTGTGAGGGCGCTGGAGCAGGAAGAAGTGCCTCCTGGGTGTCTGGCCAGGGTGTCTGACTTTCCCCTCTCTGAAACACAAAACAAGGGGAAAGCAGACTTAGTGCGTAATCAGGTCTCATTTTCATGTTTTCGATAAGAATTTCTTAAATCCTTATCACTTCTTATCACGTATGGGAGTGGGGGATTGGTTTTGTAGATTAAGGCAGCCCTCAGAATACTCCTCTTGTGCAGAGAGGGGTTACCCTGAAGGATTAAAGTAAAAATTAGTGAGAGATGCGGCAGAAAGGGTACATTTAATTAGCACCACCACATTTAACTGGTCACTCATTCAGGCCTGGGGCTGGGAGATAGACACGAGGCTTTGCCTCATAGAGTTTATAGTCCAGTAAACCAAAAAGTAAAACAGGATTATAAAACACTGACTCTTCCACATAAAACATTACCTTTGCCTCTGTGTTTTTTTTTTCAGTTTATTTTATAACAAATGCATAGCTTTTGTTATTTAAAAAAAAAATAATAATAATGCCCATCAAAGAATGTGTGAAAACTATAAGAAATAAGAACAGATTGCTCACAATTCAGAAACAACACACCTATTAATCCTTTCGATCCTTTTCATCCTTGAAGCATTATTCTCTGTTGACCCAATTGACAATAATTCTGCATAAGCCTGTTTGCATAATGCCCTTTTCACCTAATGTCATTACAGAATAATCATCACCTCTTCAGAACCATGATTTTCATAACTTCAGAGACAAACCATACTGTATTTAATCCACCCTCTGTCATTGGTTATTTAGCTTGTTTCCTTATCACTTCTTATCACCATATGGGAGTGGGGGATTGGTTTTGTAGATTAATAGGCGTTGTGTTGTTTGTGAGCAATCTGTTCTTATTTCTTATAGTTTTCACATATTGTTTCCAAGTGTTTGTGCCAAATCAGCAAAAAACGCCCTTGAAAATGGACGGCAAAAATCCAGAGAGAATGAGCAGTTAATATGTGTACAGCACTTAGCACAGTGCCTGGCACTGTTAAGTGTTCAGTAAATAGTATTTATCCACTCAACAGAAATTCATGACCCTGTGTCAGGAGCCAGATAGCGTGCTAGGCTCTGTGGGCCTGGCAGTGACCAAGACAGACCCAGTTACCCTCCCAGCGAGTCCAGTACGGTGGGCAAGACGGCCTTAAACACATGATGACATGATTTATAGGTAGATGATCAAAAGTGTTACGTGTCAAGGTTCTGGGGGCTATGAGAGTGTATTGTGGGGAGAAGGTACTAGTCTGGGGGGACATCAGAGAATTCTAAAAAGCTAAATAATAGTTGATTTAATCAATGAAGCATGCCTGTCCGGAGCAGAGGGCAAAGTCAGGGAGCACGGCCATTCCAGGAAGGGAAGTCCACAGGATGCCAGAGGATGGAAAGGAAGAGGCAAAAGCTCAGAGGTGGGCACACGTTTCTGGAAGTCTATGCCAGAGGAGAAACGCCCATTTCAGGAAGATATGCAGGATATGGAGGCACTGAGGATAAGGAGGATGCTGATGACTGACAGGGAGGAGGCAGAGCTGGGCAGTGCTGGTGAACTAACAGAGGGGATGGAGAAAGAGGGTGGCAGTCCGGAGGACCTAGAGGTGATGGAAGCTGGGACAGGTGGTGACAGAAAGGTGACAGGGACAGGAATGGTGGTGACAGGGCTGGGGGTAGAGGCAGTTGATAAAGAACAGGGTTGGGCTGAAACTGGTTTGGCTCAGTGGATAGAGCGTCGCCCTGCAGACTGAGAGGTCCCGGGTTTGATCCCGGTCATGGGCATGTACCTTGGGGGTGTGCAAGAGGCAGCTGATCGATGTTTCTCTCTCATCGGTTTCTAACTCTCTATCCCTCTCTCTTCTCTGTGAAAAGTCAATAAAATATATATTTTTAAAAAAGGACAGGGTTGGTGCACTCCCTCTGGGGAGCAGCCCCCGCCATTCCCTTCTTCCTCTTCTCCCCCCACTTTTCCCCACAGGCATGCATCTCCTGAACCCTAAGGGACCCCACGAGACTGGCGACCTGGGGAGCAATAGGCAGCGGCAGCTTATCGCAAGCTAGTTGCCCCTGTTCCCACCACCCCCTTTTCTCTAACTTCCCAGAGAGCGAGGGCTGTACTGCATAAGCCCTTTCTTGTTTTACTGTCCCCGGGTTTGGTTTGTTCTGTTTTGTTTGTTTTGTTATGTTTTAGGGAGAGCCTTCCAGTAAAAACCGAAAGACCTACCAGACAAATTTAAAAAGGAGCTGTAAGCAGTACTTACTGTCCCCAACTTTAATAAGCTTCCCGCATAGTAAAAAAAAAAAAAAAAAAAAAAAAAAAAGGCAGGGTTGGTGCAGATCGCAGGGGCTGACAGCAATGCCGGAGAAGGCGCTGGGAACTGGGTCAGGTGACAGCTTAAGACAGGGGCAGTGGCTCTGATGCAGGGATGATGGTGCAGGTGATGAGTGACAGGGTCAGCAATGAGCGGTGACCACGGAGGTGACTTCAGAGTGGCAGGAAGTGTGGGTGGTGATGATGTGCTGATGGCAAACTAGAAACGCCCACCCTGCGCCCTCCCCTGTGTTTTGACACAGGAACTGTTTCCTAGGCCTCGGTTCCGTGACTCAGGTCCCGGCACCAGCCAGGCCCAGATAAGATCTCCAGGCGCAGCCACAGCCGGGAGGGCTGGCGGGGTGCCTCTCCTGGCTGCGCCCTGGCCCAGCAAGGGGCCCAGGCAGGAGCCTTCGTGTCATCTCTGCCGCCGCCTCCTGGGTCCACATCAACCCCCATTGAGGTCCACCGAGAACCCTAACCTCTCCTTTTGCCACCGCTGTCCTAGTCAGGACTTTATTCCATCAGCTCTTCCCACAGCTGGCCCCATGAGAAGTTCCTGGGCCTTGTAAGGCTTTGTCACAGCCATTTCCTGGGAGGAGAGAAGAAGGAAGGTGGGCTTCAAGGCTGGGGCGAGGGGGCAGCGCAGAGTCTGAATAATCCCATCCAGTCATCCTACAAACATGTGCAGGGCTCCTTGCAACACATGAGGCCTGACTTGCACAAGCAGACCTATGTTTCCCTGATTCCATGAAGCTCAGACTGGGCGACAGGCATTAAGTGGCATCACCATGGAGAGAGTGCTATTCCCTTGCAATAGATAGCTTCTTTTTTAAGTTAATTAATTTAAAAATTTTACTGATTGATTTTTTCTTTTTGTAGAAAGAGAGGAAGGAAGAGAGAGACAGAAACATTGATTTGTTGTTTCCCTTAATTATGAATTCATTGGTTGATTTTTTTTTTGTAAATTTTTAAATTTATTTTCATTGATTTTAGAGAGGAAGGAAGAGGAAGAGAGAGACAGAGAAATATCAATGACAAGAGAGAATCATTGATGCCGAAACCGGTTTGGCTCAGTGGTAGAGTGTCGGCCTGCAGACTGAAAGGTCCCGGGTTCAATTCTGGTCAAGGGCATGTACCTTGGTTGGGGGCACATCCCCGGTGGGGGGTGTGCAAGAGGCAGCTGGTCGATGTTTCTCTCTCATCAACGTTTCTAGGTCTCTATCTCTCTCCCTTCCTCTCTGTAAAAAATCAATAAAATATATATTTAAAAAAAAAGAAAGAAAAAACGTAAAGAAAAGAGAGAGAGAATCATCGATTGGCTGCCTCCTGCATGCCCCACACTGGGGATCAAGCCCACAACCCAGGCATGTGCCCCTGACAGGAATCAAACCTGGGACCCTTTAGTCCGCAGGCTGATGCTCTTATTCACTGAGCCAAACCGGCCAGGCTCATTGGTTGGTTCTTGTATGTGCACTGACCAGGGATCAAAACCCCAACCTTAGCATGTCGGAGGAAGACAACACTCTAACCACCTGAGCTACCCAGCCGGGGCCTGTAACTCCTTTAGTGGAAGGTTTATCTTCACTTTAAACAAGCCCTGTCCATTGTTTCCGTGCTTCTGTGTTAACACATCTTTGAAAAATCCCCTTTCGACCCCTCCTTCTACTAGTAAAGGGTCAACACCCTGCAGAGAGCACATGTTACTGTGCTCTCCATTTGACTCAAATAAATTTTTATAAAAATTCTCTACTTCCCTAGCTAGTTTGGCTGCAGACTGAAGGGTCTCAGATTCGATTCTGGCCAGGGGTGCATGGAGGGGGCTTGCAGGAGGCAGCCAATCAATGATTCTCTCTTATCATTGAAGTCTCTCTCTTTCTCTCCTTTCCTCTCTCAAATCAATAAAAAAAATATATACTTTTTAAAAATTCTCTACTGGTTTGGGCATTTATATGGCAATGCTAAATAAGAAAAAGGTGCCAGGGAGAAATTGCTACTGTGGAAGAGCCAAAATGAGTTACAAGAACAGGGATGTCTAGAGGGGATAAATACCAATGGGGAAAAACAAAACAAAACAAACAAACAAACAAACAAACAAAAAGAACAGGGCCCTAGTTGGTTTGGCTCAGTGGATAGAGTGTCGGCCTGTGGACTGAAGGGTCCCAGGTTCAATTCCCGTCATGGGCACAAGCCTGGGTTTCAGGCTTGATTCCCAGTAGGGGGCGTGCAGGAGGCTGCTGATCAATTATTCTCTCTCATCATTAATGTTTCTCTCTCTCTCTCTCTCTCTCTCTCTCTCTCTCTCTCTCTCTCTCCCTCCCTCCCTCCCTCCCTCTCACTCTCTCCCTTCCTCTCTGAAATCATTTTTTTTAAAAAGAATAGGGATGCCTATTATTCAACTTGAGTGTGTTGGTCTGTGCAAATAAGCTTTCTACATCTCCCCAAGCCTTCAGCAGTTTGTTGCTAACATGAAGACCTTCTATGACATAAAAACACTTCTCTGACCTGTTCACTGTGCATCTAGTCTTCGTCCAAGGTGGGGTCTGCCTTGGTGGTGGATGGGCTCACAGGGGCCACCAAGCAAGAGCCCTGGGCAGCTTCTGTTTCCTAGATCATCCCTGATCAGGATCCTGCCTAAGCTGGCCCCACCCACCCTTCCAGTCTCAGCTGGAACTCCAAGCTCCAGTTTTCCCAGCTTTCCTGCCCATAAAGCCAGCCTGTACCTCTATATTCAGACCTGAAGGATGAGAATTAGCCAGGTGGGGTGTTCCAGGCAGAGGTAACAGTTTGTACAAAAACCTGTAGCCTGGAGCTCCCCACCTGACTAATTCTTTCTCATCCTTCAGGTCTGAATATAGAGGTACAGGCTGGCTTTATGGGCAGGAAAGCTGGGCCTTAAAAGGGCCCTGCACTTGATTTAATATGGTTGCTTCCCTGTTTCCCCAAAAATAAGAGTGTTTTATATTAATTTTTTCTCCCAAAGTCGCGCTAGGTCTTATTTTCAGGGGATGCCTTATCTTTCCATGCACTAGGTTTTATTTTCGGAGGATGTCTTATTTTCGGGGAAACACGGTATCTTGAAACTCTTCAATAATTTTTGAATCAGGAGACCTGCCTTTTCATTTTTCACTAGACCCTACAAATTATGTAGCCAGTCCTACATAGGTGCCCCCCAGACACACACACACACACACACACACACACACACACACACGGTAAAATATCACAAGTCCCAGTTTCCTTTGGTTGATTGTGTTGTCGTTTCCTTCACTAATTAGGCTTTACGTTCCAAGAAAACAGAAACCATTTGGTAGGCTCTGGTTTTCCCTTTCCTAACAGTGTTCAGTTTCCATCTTAGAACCCATTTTGTTCAGCTGGTGCTCATACCTTGCACGGAACACGTGACTAGGCTAATCCAATCAGGTCAGATTGGTCTAGTGACCCAGCATGTGACCGAGCTGGTCCAATCAGAGTGCACCTTTGGGTGTCTGCTGGGCAGAGATCCTCCCTCTTCCCTGCCAGAATCATGTAGCCTGGAGCTACTGCCTCGTGCTTAGAAACACAACAGGATCTGGGCTTAGGATGAGGTTGACACCTTGGAGGAAAGAGAGGAGAAACAAAAACGACGTTGATGCTGGATCAAGCCTCTCCTGAAGTTTTTATCTGGTTTGTCAATTCTGTGAGCCAACCATTACCATGGTTGCCCAAGCTACTCTGAGTCCAATTTTTGCATCTAGATGCTTCTTACGTGGTACTGTATATATTTTGCTCATAGTATTTCTGGTACCTGCTGCAACCTGGTGTAAAATAGATCCTCAATAAATATTTGATGGAATAATAAACAAATAAATGAATTACGCTCAAGCCCTCTGGCAGAAAGACCAGAGGTACTGCTTTGCACCTGAGACCTTTCCCAGGAGCCTTTGTGCAGAGTTCCGCTGGTCTCACTGCTCCTGCACCCCTCAAGGGATCCCTGCAGGTCCCTCACTTTTCTGGTGAGGGCCCACATCCTGGAACAGCCCAGAGCTGGGTCCTTTTCTGCTCATCCCCAGCAGCCAGGGCTGCGGTGAGTTCTCTACGACTAGTTATCCCTGGGCTTGGGAGCTGCACCCGGAGACTGGAGACCCCAACCTGGACTGGCCACTGCCTTGCCCAGTAGCTTCAAACAGGTCACCTGTACTGGAGATCCAGCCTCCTGCTCTGTAGAAGGTCATAGAGGACATGGATGGCCCTGACTCTCTGGCTGCCTAGAACGCTAAACTTTTGTGAGACAGGCAGAGCAACCAGGTGGAAATGGGGGTTTCATTCAATTCAGCTGTTCTCTCATTCAGCAAGTATTTGTCAACAGCTGTCACGTGCCCTGCCCAGACCCTGGGACTTTTCAGCCGCATTCTTTACGCTTCCTGCTTCCTGGCCACTTACTCTGAAATCTGGGTTGTGACCTCAAAACCTAAAGGCTTCCCAACCCCACATCCTGGCCTCTCTGGCCCCGTTTCTTTACCCTCTAGCTCTGCACCTACCCTCTCACGCACATTTCCAGCCTGTCAGACTTATTGCGTGGAAGTGTGGCTTCTGGCAACACAGGAGAAGGCGTGTGTTCAAGTGTGAGTGCTGAATACATGTGTATGCATTCGGCATGAGAGCACTGAGCGTGTCTGTGTGCCCGTGTCAGTGTAAGGACAGGTGTGTGTGCTAGAATGGGAATGTTGGCAGTGCACTGGGTGCACATGAGTGTATCTATGTGTGCTTGAGCATCTGAGTGTGTGGATGAGTGTGAGACAATGTCAGAGCATGACCATGCCTGTATGAGTGGGTAGCACATGAATGTGCATAGGTGTGTCAGTGAGTGTGTAAGTGTGTGTGTGAGAGAGAGTGTGTACACATACGTCCTTCAGGCACACCCTCATGTGTATGTGGGCACACACGCACCTCCAAGAGCCAAAGG